TGGGCAGCTGCAGAATTGGGCACAAGACCCCTGGAGAGGCCTGAACCTCCCCGGGGGTCAGAAGAGGGCTGGAAGGATGGACGGTCCCACTTTGTCTCCAGTGTGAGCTGCCCCACCCTCACCCCCAGGGTTCCCTCAGCATCCAGCACCCCTGCCCTAAGGGGAGGGGTGAGTTTAATGGCTGCAAAGTGTTAAAGACCAAATTACAGCAACTCACTGGCTTTTTTCCTGCCCCCCAATGGCTCAGTGGGGGCTGGAGCTAGAGGAGGCTAGTAAGGGGAGCCGCCTTCCCCAGGCGCTGCTGCAGCCTGAGGCTGACACTCCTGGCCCAGAAAGGTTTCTAATTACCGCTCAGGAGCCTAATTACCTACACGTACTGGGCAGTGGGGACTCCAGGCCTCTGTTCCGCCACCCACCTCAGCACAGGCTGTGGTCTTTGCATCTTCATTTGCCTACATTTACATACAGCCTCTCAGCACTGACCTCCAATGAACCCTTAAAAACCACCTCCAACGAACCCTTAAAAACCAGAGCGTCCTTGTCCCTCACCCCAAAGTCCCCTAGGCACGTTACAGGTGGGGAGATTGCGGCCCAGAGGCCGGTGAGCTGGCCACCAGATTCCTGGTCTCCCCATCTCAGAACTGGGACCCCGAGAACACATGGCTCAGAAGGTAAAGCTGAGGGGGCCCAACTCAAAGGACGTACAGTCTTGCTACCCAGTGTAGGGAGAAGGGTTACCAACACCCTCGCCCCACGGGATGGACTGTAAAAATGAAAGCACGAACAGTGAGAGCCTACTGACCCAATCCTGCCTTAGTTATTTAATCCTCCAAAAAACCCCATGAAGTTTTACTGCTGATCTGTTTGACAGAGGAGGAGCCAGGCTGAGGAGGATCACCCAGCTTCCAAGGGGTAGAGCAAGGATTTCAGCTCAGAGTTGTCTGAACCTGGTCGGGAGAAAACCCCTCCACCCTTCCCTTGGGCAGGACAGATGACACCCTGGACAGAGAGGTGCGAGTGGGCAGCTGAGGGGAGGTCCACCCAGAGATCAGCCCTCCTGCTCTGGGAAGGATGGGTTACATCTGTGCCATACCGTGCCTCGCACAGCAACTGGAGAAGCCAGCAGCCCTAGAGAGTGGAGGAGCTCTAAGCAAGGACCTCTGCCCCTACCCTGTCTCTTTCTCAAACGCTTCTTGATTTTCATGGCCCTTCCTCTCCAGGAAGCCCTCCTGGCTGCTCCAGCCTACGCAGATCCCCAGCTTCTGAGCTCCCCGGAGCCCTGCCAGGAAGTTGGAACCACAGGCCTCTCCCTACTGACTGACTCCTCTCTGACTCTGGCCTCTTCTATTGGTCGGCAGGGGGGCCTCAGGGTTCCTTCTCTCCTCTCCTCTCCAGTCTCCCTGACAGCATGGGCCACAGACGTCCGGCCGGTTGGGGAGCAGCGGCTGGGCTGGGCAGGGCTGAGAAGCAGCAGCCTGGGTGTGCAGGCGTCAGATGACACCCAGGTTTTCACCCACCCACAAGGCTTCCAACAGTGCAGAGAGGAGGACCCGCGGGGAGGAGGAGGGCACCAGGCAGCCTCTCCTGCTTCTAGGGGCCTAGACCACGGAAGGGGAGGGGAGGCGGAGGGAAGCTGCGGTTGGAGGCCCAGTCCCACTGAGGCGTACAGAGCTGGTGTGTGATGAGAAGCTACCCTCATCACAGTACCTCAAAACCAGGAAGAGAAACTGAGCTGGCAGAAGGGCGAGCTGGGCTGCGTGGGGTCCTCAGGTCCCTGGGGGCCTGCCAAGGGGAGCTCTTTGGACAGTCGCTGGACAAACCACTTGTCCCTCCCAGGCCTCAGTTTCCCCACGGGAAAAATGGGATTCTCTCCCTGGTCCTGCCAGTCTGACCCTGATTGGTATGGGCTGCATCATGCCTGACACAAGAGACGCCCCCCAGTTAGTGGAGTACTCCTGGTCCCCCAACAGGCTCTGGCCTCTCCCGGGTAGCAGGGCTTGGCCCCCCCGAAGTGAGCCTCGCCCTGCCTGCTTCTCCCCTCAGCCACGCAGGGAGCACACTAGCTCTTCCTCACCAGCTCTTTATTTTTAGGTCTGAATTTGACTTTAATCATTACTTAGCGGATTCTATTTCCAGCCCTTGGATGAAGGGACCCAGAGGAGAGGAGGAGGGGAGGCAGTGCTCCCTGCCTGGTGTGGAGGGTGGCCTGCCTCCTCCACCCATCCTGTCCCCAACCAAGGAGGGGGGGCACTGAGAAACTCCCAAAGTGCTCACCCCAGCCAGGCCAGCATCTTGGAGAGGACCGCACCCTGTGACCTCATCCCAGCCCGAGCTGTGGGACAGGAGGGCAGTTGTAATGCCCGCCTCCCCTGCGCCAAGACCAGGGACGAGGGGGACACTCCAAAGGCAAAAGTCTGGTGGCCGGAGTCCGAGGTCATGTGCCTGGGAGCCCTCTGCAATGAATGGGCCACCTTGGGGAGGACCCTCTACCTAGGTTAGTCCTGAGCCATACCAGGGTCAGCTGGGGCTATGGTCTCCTAGGCCCTGGGAGTGCCAAGCTGAGACTGTTTTCCTCCTACTGTCCATGGGCTGACCCTAGCAGGGCACTCCCAGTTCTCTGATCTCCACAGACGTGGAACAAGAGGAAGTAAGCGATGTCACAGCAGTACATGCTCAGATTACACCTGGGAAGCACCTGCTGAAGAGAAGGACACTAACACACAAGACTTCCCTAGTGATTTGTGGACCATCTATGTTCCCCTTCAACTCCCAGCTGGGAGGCTCTCGAATCTCTGCCTCTGACCCCAACTTTCTTCCCTTCCCCAGCCACTGGGCGGGAGGATGAGGCTGGCATGGCTGTCCCTGGCTTGGGGCTCCGGATGCCGGGGTTCCTTGCTAAGACTGTTTTCCCAGGGAAAGTAGGCCTCTATCTCCACTGGGGAAATGTGGGGCTGGCCTAGGAAGTAGCTGAAGCTGGGGGACAGGAGGCAGCCAGGCTCTCAGAGAAAGAGCCTTGTCCATTCAGCTCTGATGCTGAAAGAACAGAGGGAGAACGGGTAGGGCCAGGCCCCAGAAACCAACCAGTAGCCCACCTTCCACGTGGTGATGGGGACGGGGGAAGGCAGAGAGGGGGGACAGGATACTGGCCAGAGCAGTCTCTGAACACAGGGTTTCTGAAGGGCTCCCTGGGCAGAGACCACCCTTGGCTGGGTGAGCCATCAGCCAGCCCTGGCCCGGGTGTCTTCTGCACACGCTGAAGCAGCCTGCAGTGGGCATTCCTTCAGCAAAGCCTACCCCTTTTCACAGAGTGCCTAGTGGATGCCAGGGGGTGTGCCAGGCACCTTCTAGTACCTTGGTTAGTTAGTTCCGTGTCCGCACACTCCCCTCTGACGTAGGTATCACCGTCCCTGTTGTGTATATAAAGGAACTCTGGCTCAAAGGATGACCTGTCCAAGGTCCCTCCTCCCTGGCCTAAATGGCACAGCTGGGCCTGGAATCACGTTGGTTGGGTGCCAAGCTGCCCACTCTCTCCAATACTCTCAGCTGCTTTGGGGGCCTGCAGTAACAACAATTACAACAGCAACAGACGGGAAACAACGATGCACAAGCTTGGTAAGAGGGTTGGGGTAAGGCTGCTGCGGCAGAGCTTTCGGGAATATTTTGTAGCTTTTTAGGAGCAAAGTTGCACAGATTGTGTAGCAACATGAGAAAATGCCCAGATATGGTATTAAATGAAAAAAGGTGTGATGGCACGCATACCCAAATGAAAACAGCGACAAAGGCAAAAAAGATCAGGAAAAGACTGGCTGGGAGCTCGAAGATACTAACAGTCACTATGCCAGTGAAGAAACAGTGGGTGAATTTTCTGTGTTCTAAATTTTCTGTAGTGCTGTTTTGTTACTTTCTAAATTAAGAACCCTAATACTATTTACCTACATACGTAGTTTTCTGAGCTCAGATTTGCTTCCTGGGGACCCACCTGCCACCCAGCTCTGGTCCTGGTGTCTGGGACATCAAGGGATGGCCTTTCTGATTTGGGACAGTCCCTCAGACACATGAGGGTGCTTCCCTACCTTCTCGTTCCCAGACCAAACACCTTTGGGGACAATGAGGTTCAAAACCTCCCAAAGAACAAGCTCAGAACTGGACCCAAGCCGTCCTGCCAGATCAGGCTTGTTGGGGCGGCCACGTCACACTGCGAGCCCTGGGCCTCTGTCTCTGCCTGTACTCTGGTCTGCTCTGTGATGGCTCAACCCCTTGGGGCCTGGTGCCCTCTGCAGCAGTGCTGGGGACCGTCTTCTGGTCCTTCCCTGTCCCAGACCCAAGGCAGAGAGAAGAGCAGGGAGGAAGACACCAAGCTCGTCACATAAAAAGTGAAGCCCTGCACACGTGCTTGCCTGAAGCCAGACCCCTTTCTACAAGGGTCTTGGGACCCCGGCCTGCACCCAACAGTTCACAGGCGTCCAACCATGTCAGGCTTCAGCCCCAGGCCCTCAGGCTGGCAAGGAAGTTAGGGCTGGGTGAGGGGAGCCTCACAGGCCCAACACATCTGTGTCCCCTCCACTGTGCATGTCAGGGCAACCGGAAACAACTCTAAACCAACGGCAGAGGCCTGAGCGGGACGAAACTGCCAGCAGCCCCAAGGGGCCCCAGACACGGCTAAGTATCCCCCAGGGAGCCTCCCACACTTCCAGCAGCAAAAGGATCCTGCCACAGTCCCAGTCTCCTTCCTGCTGCCTTCACCCTGTTCCTGCTGGGGCCCCACCAAGAAAGACACTGGGAACACCAGGGTGTAGGGAGCTTGGAAGAGACACCCTGGGTGTCCCCACTCTGACAATGTTCCCATGCCAAGGCTGAAGGGTGCTCCTTGTGGAAACAGGGCTCTCGCCTTCCCCATCCAGATCCCATTCACCAGCTGGGCCAAAGGTGTATAGGAGGGAGAGGTCAGGAATGACCACCAGGCTGCTTCAGTTCAGCACCAGGGCTGCACCCCGTGGGTGCCCCACACACTCACCGCATCCCTCAGTGGGACCCGGCCTCAGGCACCAGGGGGAAATCCCACGGGCAGTGCCAATGCTGCCCGAGCCCAGACCCAGGCAGAGCCGGGGCCGGAAGCCCTCTCCCTTCTCTCTAGCCCTCTGTAGGGGAGCACGTGCTCACCCCACAAGGACCCATGGGCCAAGCTGGGGACTTATGTCCCTGGTGGGTAAAGGCACCTGGCTGGTTTCTCTCTGCCCACAGCAGTCCAGCTCTGCAGAGCCGGGGGGATGAAAGGACAGACAGCCTAACTCTGCCAGAGGCCTGGGATAGCAACTCCCCCTTTAAGCCTCAGTCCCCTGGTCTACAAAACAGGAGGGAAGATAAACCCCTAGTTAAGCTCCAAGAATCTAGTGGCTGGACACGCCCCTTCCTGACACCTGGCTGGGCCCTGAGGAGCCTGGGAAAAGGGGCTGACAAGGCTGCCAGGAGGTGGGGCATGGTCCTAATGCCCAGTGTCACCTCCACCAGGACAGAGGCCCAGCCCAGTTTCCCCACCCTAGGGTCAGAGGTCCCTTGGCTTAGGCCTGGTCTTCTGGGAGGCCGAGGGTGACAGGCTCAACCTCTGGCAGGCTCAAGGGAGGTGGCTGGGCCCTGGGCTTCCTGGAGACGGCAGGGCCTCCGCAGGGGAATGCGGGAGGGGTCAGAACCAGGCAGGCCAAGGAACCCGCAGGGAGGCCCTGGGCCGGGAATGGCAAACCGCCCATCCTCCTGGGCCCTGGCCCATGCCGACCCCCTCCCTCCAGGCTCCAGCCAGCCCCCACAAGAGGGGGAGGACAGACTCGGGGTGGCCAGAGACAAGTCTGTGGGGCTCGAAAGGTAGTACCTCCCTCGTGCGCTCCCCTCCCAGTCGGGCTGGGCTGACAGTGACTCCCGGGAGATTTCGAACCCGGGAAGGAGGGTGTAAGGGAGGTGGGGGATGGGTGTGGACGCCACGGCAGCTGCAACAGAAGCAACAGAAGCGGGACGAGCGACCTCCACCCACCCCCCGCCGGGAAGCACTCGGACGCCCACCTCCTCCAGGTCTGTCAGGCACTCACCTCTCTCGGGGCACTGCGGTCCGGGCCACCTCGCTGCGGGCAGCATCAGCGGCCTGCGGGGCAGTCCATGCGGCCAGGGGGGAGGGGAGGGGCGCAGGGGTCCCCGGGTGGTGCGGTACAAAGAGGTCTGGGTGCGAAAGGAGGGGGAGGAGGGACGGCCAGACAGAGGCAGGGGGACGGCCTCGCGGCCCGGGTCGGGGAGGGAAGAAAGGCGGGGGAAGGGGGGCGGGAGGGAGTCGGGGGGAGGAAACAATGTAGCCGGCGCGGCCCCGGTAGAGTTCCGCTTCCGAAAGCCGCCACAGAGGTTCGATTTTGGGACGTCGCGCCGGCTGCCCCGGACCCTGGATCGGGGCCGCAGGGGGTCCCCGCGTTCCACGTCCCGGAGGCTCCGGCGGCCACAGGCTGGCTGGGGCGGGAGGGACCGCTGTCCGGGGGATGGCCCCGACGGCGGCGCGGCCGGGCGATCGCCCCGCTCGGACCCCACCCCGGCAAGACCTCCGGGCAGGGTGCGGGGTGGGGCGAGAGCTAGAGGGCGACGGTGGTCTCAGTGGCGGCGGCCAAGCTCGGCTCGCCCTGGGCTCCGCTGGGAGGAAGCTCGCAGGCCTGGCGAGAGGAAGCGCGGCCCGGATCCTCCGCCCGCGGCAGCGCGCCTGCGCGAGGGAGCCGGCCCGGCGCGCCGCGGGGCGTGGGCCGGCGGGGCGGCGCCCCCTGCCGGGCTCCGGGGGCACTGCGGGGGGGGTGTGTCCGCGCCCACGCCCTGCCCCCACCTGCCCACTGGCGCTGAAGGATCCTGAAGGCCCCTCACCGAGGGCCGACCAGCCCGCCTTGGAGCAACCTCCAAGCCTTCCTCGGGCGCAGCTCCCCCGATGTAGAAGCGATTGAGGCCAGGCCTGGTCCCCTCTCCTCGGATCTGTTTGTGGAGAGTGGGCCTCACTCACAGCAGCATTTATAGATTCACAAGCATTTCCTGGCGCTGAGAATGTGACAATTCAGGAGTCTACTAGTAGGACCACTTCGTTACCGTCAAGGAGTTCCCAGTACTGACAGGCCAACAGACAAGTGCCAAGAGATAACTGATAAAAGTGAAGAAGTGGTGTACAAGGTCCACAGGAAGCAGAAAAGAGGGAAGGCCTAATGAGACTTCACAGAGCTGGGACCTTAGGCAGAAGGAACAGCATGGACAAAGGTAGGGAGAGGTGAGAGCACTTGATGGCTCTGGGAACTGTAAATAGCTCAGTACGGCTGCAGTTTGCAGTGTGGGTCCAGGAAAGTAGTGGGAGATGGGCTCCCTGCAAGCCCCAGAGACAAGAGAGATCCAAAGGGCCTTATGGAACTTTCCTGGACTTTGTTTTCAGCTTGGCAGCAGTGAGGAAGTTGTCAGTAGCTATGTGATTTTGGGAAAGTTACTTAACCTCTCTGTGCTCTAGTTTACCAAATGGGGGAAGTTATAACACCAACTTCTTAAGGTTTTGTGGGGAGGAAATGAGTTAATACGCTTAAAGTGCTTAGCGTGCAGTGGGCGGCACGTGGTCAGCCCTTAGCTAAGTATCGCCTGTTATTATATATTACTGTTAACGAGGAGCAGGGCGTGATCTGCTCTGAGCTCAGGAGCAGACTGTGTGTGTGTGTGTGTGTGTGTGTGTGTGTGTGTGTGTGTGTGTGAGTGTGAAGGGGGAGCAGAGAGTTGGGGGCGGGGGCAATGATGGAGGAGAGACCGGAGACTCCAGTGTGGGTACAAGGAGGCAGGCTACTCCCTAGGGACTGGGCCCTGAAGGAAGGGTCAGGATTGGTGCGGCAGAGGGGAGGGGCATTCTGTGGTGGGGAAAATGAGGTGTACAGGCAAAGTCTTGAAATTCAAAATAAGTGAGGGACTAGGGTCCTGGAGGAGAGTGAGTTGAGAAGGCAGTGTGGCTGTACATTGCAAAGAGCAGAAGTTGGGTGTGCTTCCCCAGACAAACTGCAGGATGGCCCTCTGACCCAATGCACCCCTTGGCCAGTTTCCAGAAAGGAGCCAGCCCTTCAAGGAGGGAAGTGGTAGTCACACCACAGCCCTTTGAGGAGACATCCAGTCTCAGAGATAGCTATGGTGTGACAGGAAAAAGCATGGATTTGGGGTTCAAAGTGTAAAGTTAAATTTCAGCTGGGCCACTTCCTAGTTGTGTGATCTTGGGCTAGTTACTTAACGTCCCTGAGCTCAGTTTCCTCTTCTGTAAGATCAAGCTTAAAATGCAACTGTCTCACAAGAGATGGTGCAGATGCAGCAAGATAATGGCCTAGGGGTGGGGGAGGTGGGGAGGGTGTTCAGCTTGGCTGGTTTCCCTTTCTTTCCTCTGAGGTCAAGATGGAATGATAAAGTGGGACCGGATGGGGCCACCTCTCAGCCTGAAGGAAAGCACTTCAGCAGCTCTGCGAAGGCTTCTCGAAGGGCCAAGTTGATATCTCCCCTCCCCTGACTGATCAGCTGGCAAAATGGGAAAGGGCTGTGGGGATATGTGGAAAATGCTCTAATCCCTGTCCCAGTTTTTCACCAATGCATTTTCCTTTACCCCCCAAACATGTTTGACATTATCCCCTGGGTTTGCTGTGGCCTAAGTGTGAACTTTGGAGTCAAATAGGCTTGTATTTGCATCCTGGTTCCACCTCTTCACGGTAGAATGCAATAAATTTGTTAACTTCCCTGAACCCCAGGCACAGGGGACAAATCAATAAAGGGTCCTGCCCCACAGAGCTATCCTCCAGTGGAAGAGCCAATGAACTTCCAACCTCACCACCATTCATTCATTCATTCATTCCCTCACTCAAATACTTACTGAGCACCTACTAAGTGCCTGGCACTATCCTGGATGCAGGAGTTGAAAGGGCGAGAAAGACCACTGTGGATAACCATGTGGTTATCCCCTCATGGGATAAATAAATAAGCAGGGCAATCAGACACTGTGGCATGAGGGCAATGAATGCTTGATGGAGGAGAGCACGGGGCGGGGAAACAGACACAGAGGGCCCAGCAGCTTAAGGGACAGCCAGAAGGCCAAGGTGACAAGACCAGCAAGCGAGGGGGAGTAGTATGAGAGGAAGGGGCTGGATCTGGTGGGGTGTTATGGGGCGGGGGGTTTATTATGTGAGTTTGGATTTTATTACATGAGCGCTGGGGAGCCGCTGAAGGATTTTTAAGCAGGGGAGTGACACGATTGAGCAGAAGTCAAGAGACCAGTGAGGAGACTTTGCATATTATGGCCAGTGATGATGGGCATGGACCCCAGTGGACAAAAGGGAGCCACGTGGCAGCTCTGGGTGATGGGCTGTTCAGGGAGTGAGGCCCCAGGAGAAAGGGGGCCTGATCCTTAGGTACAGCTGGAACATGGGGAAATGCTGGTGCTTTTTGCTGAGGTAGGGAGGACCTGGGAGAGGCGCAGGCTGGGGGTAGCGCTCAGGAGCTGTACTTTGGACAAGCTAAGGTTAAGACACCTGTGAGACAGGGAGATGTCAAGATGGCGTTTGGAGCTACATTTTACGGACAAGGCCACTGAGGCTTGAAGCACTCAGAACTTTCCCAGAGTCCCACTCCCAGAATTGGGGTTCCAATCTGAGGACCTCCAAAGCCTGGGGCACCAAACAGCCTCCCCTCTCAGCAGACCCTAGGAAAGGAGCTCATCAGAGAAGGGTCTTCTGGTTCTAGGATAGGGGAGGAAATTTAAGAGGAGCCCCTCCCTGCCAGGTAGGCTCAAGTGCTAGCTTTCCCAGGCTGAGCTGTTGTCCCCACCTTGGGGGAATGGAGAAAAGAGGGGAGGCTTGAGACCCCTGGATGTGGGAACAGGGCTTAGGACTTCTGGCTGCATTTGATGACACAATGCCACCGCAGTAGCTCGATGCAAAGTTGGGTTGGTAGCCAGAAATCCAGAGCTTAAGCACCTTTATGGGTGGACTGAGCTGTGATCCCAGGGTCCCCTGGGAAGGAAAGGACTTCCCGCCACGCTGCCTCCTCCTCTCCCCCAGCCTCTTTGCTCTGAAATGACAGTTTAGAGAAACTGGTGTGAAATAGTTTGAAACTCAGATGTCTGGGCAGTCCCTCGGGGCAGAAAACAGGAAGCCAAGATTAAAGGCAGATTTCCAGCAAAGTCCCCTTCTACTTCCTGCAGAGCAGGTGCTCAGGCTGAGCTGACTGTGGGCCCCTTCCCTCGCTGACAGCACCTCTGGGTGACTCTGCACAGGCCGGCTCTCCTGCTTTAGGAGCTGTTCTTCAACCTCGTCATCACCATCCCCACAGGAAGCTCCTGCCAGGCCCTTGGGGGAATGAGCCTCCTGCAGAAAGAGGCTGTGGAAGGTGGAAGGAGGCACCAACAGGAAACAGCACCTGGGGACACCTAGGAGGCAGTGAGGCCAGGCGGAGAGGGCATGGGCTTTGGGATCGTTCAGCCCTGGTGTGAATGCCACTTCTTGCTGTAGGGTCTCACTGACCTGTGGGAGTGGGTCGAGGGGTAGGAGCAATGCAAAGGGGGGCTTCAGGGAAGGTAGCCGGGGAGACTGGACCAGTGCTGGGGCCTGGGAGGCCTAGGGGAGGGCAGAAGCAGGAGAAAGCAAGTGGCCACAGTGGCCATCTCAACATCAGGGACCACTCGGCGGGGTGGCCAAGCTGATATCCACAGCTGCTAAAGTCTCAGGGAACCAGGGGCCAGCATGGGCCTCCCCCGTGACCTCTTTCCCTTCCTGACCCGCAGGAGAGCTGGCTTCCGTGGGCTCCGTCAAGGCAAGAAGCTACGCCTGCCTCATGCAGAGGCAAAGCCGTGACCTTCCAGATAAGCCCTGTGTTCTCCTCAAGGGGCCTGAGACCCCACCCACCCAAAGCTGTCCTTGGGAGGACACCTGCATCAGAGGCATCACGCGTTGGAAACCTCCCTTCTTGGATGGCTGAGTTTATCACGAGGACAAGGCATTGCCCTGGGAGACCCAGGTTCTAGGGACAGACTGGCCTCTGATTTGGGGCAAGTCCTCCCCATCCAGGCCTCAGTTTCCCCTCCTGTGTACCGAAGGGTTGCATCTGGTGATCTCCTGCAGCTCTGACTTCGTGTGCACAGGTGGAGGCCCTGGGCATGGGGAGGGTGGGCAGCTGCCAACGGACTCCAACTTCTGTCCCCCTGGGACCAGGGAGCTTCCATTTACTGAGCACCTACTATGTGCCCGATACTTTATAATTGTTATTGATGACGATACTGATATTTACTGGACACTTACTGTGCACAAACATTTTTAATGTCAGATTAAAGTCTCTTCTCTTTACTGCAACAGTTTGCTCTAAGGGGATTTCTAAGGAAGCTTGTTTGTTTGTTTCCACCATGATGGTGGCAGAAGTCTTGGTGCTGATGGTTTGGTGGCTTTTTGGCTTTTGTGGTTTTAGCGGTGGTGGTGACCCAACCGAGAGGCCATTGAGAGCTGGAGGACCTCACTCTTGTGGCTTGAGGCAGCCGGTACATAGGGCTTCCTCGACCACACCACAGGGGTTAATTGGCTGGTCTCCTGACCTTGAAGGTCATGGGTCTGGGCTTTGCAATTCAGAATCTCTCTGGAGCAGGCAGATGCAAAACCAAGTTCATGACATGAATTGGTCAAGGAACCTGGGATCCCTGCAAACTTATCTGGTGCCTTCCTCCAGGAAGGCATATTTCCTCCAGAAATGTGGCACATATTTCTTTCCTCCTTGGTCCTTGGTCTTGCAATGTTCTGTCTGGTGGGGCACAGATGTTAAACAGCGTGATGAGAGTTACTAGGAGGGATGTGCAGGTGTGATGCAGGTGCACAGCAGAGGAGCCCTCCTCACCTGAGTGCTCAGACCCTGCAGGAGGAGAGATGCCTGGGATAGTAGGAGCAGAGGCCCTGTAGCTGGAAGGGGTTGAGCTTTGGGAGAAGCAGAAAGAGGCTAGGATGGGCTGAGGGGCAGGGCATGCGGGGCAGTCTTGGGAGCAGAGGTCAGTGACCAGAGCCTGCAGGGCCTCCTGTGTCCACCTCAGGGCAGAGGGACCCTGCTCTTTGAGGGTTTCACCAACGCCTCAGCTGTGTGTTTGCATTTTTAAAAAAATATTTATTTTTTGGCTGCGTTGGCTGCTGCACGCAGGGCTTCTCTAATTGCGGCGAGCAGGGGCTACTCTTCATTGCGGTGTGCGGGCTTTGCGTTGCAGTGGCTTCTCTTGTTGTGGAGCACAGGATCAAGGTGCACAGGCATCAGTAGTTGTGGCGCACAGGCTCAGTAGTTGCGGCTTGCGGGCTCTAGAGCACAGGCTCAGTAGTTGTGGCGCACGGGTTTAGTTGCTCTGTGCATGTGGGATCTTCCTGGACCAGGGATCAAACCTGTGTCCCCTGCGTTGGCAGGCAGATTCTTAACCACTGTAACACCAGGGAAGTCCCTGTGTTTGCTTTTTTTTTTTTTTGTGGTACGCGGGCCTCTCACTGTTGTGGCCTCTCCTGTTGCGCTCCGGACGCGCAGGCCCAGCGGCCATGGCTCATGGGCCTAGCCGTCCCGCCGCGGCATGTGGGATCTTCCTGGACCAGGGCACGAACCCATGTCCCCTGCATCGGCAGGCGGACTCTCAACCACTGTGCCACCAGGGAAGCCCTGTGTTTGCATTTTTAAAAGATCACTTCTTCCTGTTGATGGAGAATTGACTGGCTTTTTGTCCTCCAGGAAGCTGCAATGGCCTTTCCCAAATCCCCAGGCTAGATCACTGCCCTCTGCAGTGCCGCTCAGTGGGCCCTCTTCTCAGCTTTGTAGCGTTGACTACCTGCTTTGTGCAAGTTTCCTGGTCTGCCACTGGAGGCTGAACCATGGTGTTCAGATGTTGGTTGAATGACTGAGTGATGTGAATTTTAATAAATAATAATAATAATAATAGTTAACACCGATATAGGCTTTACCATATGCCAGACACTGTCCTAAGCACTTTACATGTCTTAAGTGTCATTTAATCCTTGTAATATATTTCCAAGGTATGTATCATTATTCTCTCCATTTTGCAGAAAAGGAACTGAAGGGATTCCATGAGGGAACTCAGCCACCAGACCCTGCGTAGGAGAGGAAGGATTCAGGATGCCATTGTATCATTCTCACCCAATTTATTTTAACAGCTTCTGGGTTAGAGTCCTGGCCTCACTCCTGCCCAGCTGTGTGACCTTAAGTAAAGGTCATATAACTTTCTGAGCCTCAGTTTCCTGATCTCTAAAATGAGAGGCTCACCTCACTTGTGATGCTAAACAGAGAAGAAGAAAAGCTAATCACTTAGCACAGTGCTTTGGCCCCAGGCACACTTGCACTCACTGGCAGTGAGATGAATATTTTTTTCTCTGACTCCTGAAACAGGCTGTGTAGTACTGGCTCTCCCCTGCTGTCCTCTAAGTCCAGCTTCCTGAGGCTTTTGTCTGTTCCTGAGCCTACAGTTTCACAATGGCTTGTGAACAGTAACCCTCCTCCATCCATTCCCCAAATATTGAGGGCATGTGTACTACTTCCCAGGCACCAGAGCCCCTGGGGTTAGGCAGAGCCAGAGCTTCCTTGGTTCTTGGTACCCGGAGTCCTGGGCTTCTGAGCTTCTGAAAGTTTGATGCTTCCCTCTCAAGGCTGCCTGGAGACCTTCTCCTGCCGCGTGTCATCTTTGAGCTGGACCAGCCTCCACCCAGAAGTCCCCGGGCTCAACTGCACAGATTGGAAACCCAGTTGGTGTTGTTCTGCCTTTCTCATGGGAACTGTTTGGGGGAAAGCCGAAAAGGGGTTCTGGGTTCTTCACGGTACAAAAGTTGGAAACTTGGCCTAGGATGGGGGTGGGCAAGGAGAAGCAGCAGGAGGTTTGCCTAGCTTGGGCTGCAAAGGGAGAACAGCTGGGTGCTGCTACTGCCTCAGGCCAAGCTTTTGCAAATCACATGCAAATCCTCTTGCCCAGGTGTTGTACCTGTGAATAAACTTGTGTGTCTGTGTCTGAGATCAGGGGAGGTTTTGGAAGAGTGGGGTGAAACTGCGCAGGGAGGAGATCCTCCGTGAGCTGAGGAGCTTTTAGAAGCTGCCTGAGACAGGGATGGGCACCTGGAGGGACATGTCCCTTCCCTTTGATTTTTAAGGCCCTCAGAGTTTAGTTCTGAAGAGCGGGTGCCTGGGTGGAGAGGAGAGGGATTGTCTCTCCATGGGGCAAACAGTAAATGTGTATTGAGTGAATAAGTGAGCAACCGAATTCTCCTTGGGGTCTCTGGCTGCCATTCTTGCCATAGGTCTCAGGGCTCCCGTCCCAAGGAAAAGGACCTTGCCTGCCTCCCTGTTGTCCTTCCCCCCAGCCCATCTTCTTAGACCCCTGCTCTTAACCACTGGGTCTCCAGGAGCGCTCTCCTGACATAGAGGTCCAGGTCACATCTCTATCCAGCCAAAGCCAGTTCTGGTTGTAGAGGTGGTCCTCTTATCTCCAAAGACCCGCCCCCCCCCATCCCTGGGGCCAAGCAACTCCAGTTTCAGATACACCTAGTGCAGCCAGCCTTCCCCCCCTCCCACTGGCCCTCAACCGTGTGGCCAGTCAGCAGTGAGAGTGGCAGCCTCAGAGGAAAGGCGGGCCTGCCTGAGTCTGGGAGACTGGGTCCTGGGTGCCTGCTGTTGATATGAGTGAAGGATGAAGGTTGGGGTGATAGGACCACAACTTGGGAGGAGCTGGTTGCTTCCCCGAGCTCGTGGTGCAAGGGAACATGAAGCTTCAAGTCAGCGAGGGTGAGGGTGTGTCACGGAGGAAAGCAGTGCCACGAACTCTAGGGACCCTTGATTATTTTCAGTTGCAGCTGGGAGCAGCATCCTGTTCAAACCGCACTGGAGGCCTGATGTTGGCTGTCTTCTTTGAGTGACTATCTTTTCTGTTGTTTTGGTGAACAGCACCTTTATTTTTTGCTTGTTAGCCAGAGGTCGGTTTCTGTTGTTTGTGACTCAGAACCCCACCCCGTGTCCCCGACCCCACCCCCACTGTGGCGGCTGGAGGATGAGGTACGGTCCTGCGTGGGAAGTGCCAGACTCATAGCAGCGATCAAACAAAGGCCATTGTCTTCCCCTTGCAGTCTCCGCTGTGACTTGCCTTTTGCTGTCTCTTAGAATTTGGTCTCATTTAACGATGAGGCTTGTGGTCTCATCGGGTCTGAGGGGGAACAGCGCCTCCTGGTGGCCAGAGTGCAGATCCCAAGGGGAAGGGAACGTGATGGGGCTGGAGGCAAGGCAGTCTCAAGGTCCTGGCCAGCAGTCCCAGGGCCTCACCTGTAGAGCCGGTGTCTGCTCTGAAAAAGTTGGCTTCTAGAAGCCTGGGCAGGACCCTGTACAGGGCTCAACGAGGGCCAGAGCCAGAGCTGACCCTCACCAACTGAGAGTGCCACAGGGCGGGTTCTGAGCAGGGCTGGCCAGGGTAGATGAGGACAGAGAACCCAGGGCAGCTAGAAGGGGAGAAGATAAGACCACTTCTGGAAAGCATGGGTGGATTGGTCATCCCTTTACAGAGGGGCAGAATCCAGCTGTTCCAGAAACCACCCCCAGTGGCTGTTGTCTGCCTCTGGAAGGGCTTTTCCACATGGGATGCTGGTGGGGGACAGCCAGATCTGCCCTGGCTGCCAGAATTCCCCAGGGTCCCCCACCTTGGACTGTTCTCTGATTCCAAGGCCATTACCACACTGGTCCCAGGTGCCTGACTGGCCTGAGCATTGCTGATTCTCCTGGTATTCTTCCGAATAACAAGGCAAGGTCGAGAAGGAAGGCATGCTTTGTTGAGCACCTATTGTGTGCTGGGTGTTTGTACATTGGATTTCATTTGATCACTATCCATCAAGGAAAACAGTAGCATCTAGATCTTATCTTTATGGCCAGGGAGGCCCACAGAAGGTGATTTGCAGAACCATCTCGAAGCCTGGGCTCTCTCTCCTGCCCCATCAGGTTGGTCTCAGACGGCAGTTCCAGAGTCCCCAGGCCATAGGTTTGCTTGGCAGTGAAAGGGCAGTGAGCTGTGGGGAGGATGTTTACATCCCGCCTGCCAGTCCTCCCTCGAGGTATAGAGGAGCTGCTGGTGCAGGGCAGGAGGGTCTGGTTGGAATGGCCCTGGGCCTCAAGGTGGGGGCACTGGTGGAGGCAGAGCTGGAAGGGAGGGGCATGAGGGGGCAGGCTGGGATCAAACTTCTGGCTTCAGAGTCCGCCCTGAACCTTCTCAGCAGGTCTGACTTGGGCCCAGACGTCATGCGTTGGGGCGGGGTAGTCTGCACGAGATGCAGGAGCCACCAGCAAGGCTGAGGTCAAGCCCAACTCTGCAAATGACTAGCCATGACATCCTGGCTGGGTGACCTCCCGCTCTGCACCCCATCCCCATCTGCCCAGCAGACACGAGTGCACTGCCCTTACAGTGCTGTGAGGACTAAGTGGGGCAAAGTGCCGGGAGGGACCTGGCAGAGAGCAAGTGCTCAGGGGACTCTGGCTGATTCTCAAGCAGAATTAAGGGGGCAGTCAGCCTCCAGATATCTTCAAGATTCCAGGGCTAAATTCCTGACTCCAAGACCCCTGAGAAGGGCTTCCCTGGTGGCACAGTGGTTGAGAGTCCGCCTGCCAATGCAGGGGACACGGGTTCGAGCCCTGGTCCGGGAGGATCCCACATGGCACGGAGCGGCTAGGCCCCCGTGCGCCACAACTACTGAGCCTGCGCACCACAACTGCTGAAGCCTGCGCACCGGGAGCCCGTGCTCCGCTGCAAGAGAAGCCACTGCAATGAGAAGCCCGAGCACCACAACGAAGAGTAGCCCCAGCTCGCTGCAACTAGAGAAAGCCCGCGTGCAGCAACGCAGACCCAACGCAGCCAAAAAAACCACAAAAAGACCCCTGAGAAGAGGTAGGTGAATGTGTAGGTCCTTGTAGCACTGGCCACGCCCATCTCTGTGCTGATCAGTGCACCTGAGGCCCTTGTTTGCTTACCTGAGCAGTGTGAGTCCTAGGAGATCAGGGGTGGGTCTACATTGTCAGTGTTCCTGGTGCCCCAGAACAGAAAAGATGATGGGACACACTTGGGCGAGTTCCCTGTCTCTGGAAGTAAGAGAATGGAAGTGAACACCTATCAGGAAGCTGGACAGGGAATTTCTACTTTAGGTGTGTCTCTGAAGACCAGGCCAGGGAATGATGGGGAAGGGTTGGGAGGAGAGTCCTCTGGCCATTCTTAGTGGCTTCTCCGCAATTTCTGGGAAGGAAGGACTTGAGAGTTGTCTTGAAGCTGCATTTGCGAAATAAACTCACTTTTCCTTAGATTGTCTATTTATTTGGCATGGGGTTCCCGGGCTGCAGGTGATGGGTCAGTGGCTTCGGGAAGCATTTGCTTCTCTGAGTGGTCACGAGGGGGCAGCCCAGACTGCATCAGCGCTGCTCCAGCTCCAAGCAGGAGGAAGGAGGATGGGGGCAGATCCTGACCTGAGATCTGGGGGCAGGAAGAGGGGCACAGAATTGAACAGCTGCAGGGGCGGGGCACTCTAGGGACAGATTCCCCCTCCTCTGGGGCAAGGAGAATGTAAGCCTATGGCTGCTGAGAGGAGGGAGCAGGGGGCCTAGAGCACAGGAGGAGAGGAGCCCCGAGGGCAGTGCTGACCCCAGGTGGGAGGCATGGCCGGTGGCGAGCTGTGGGCTATAGCCCTTCCTGGAGTACCTCTTATCATCCCCTGGGAGGGCAGACTGTGGTGCAGGCTTTCCAGTATCCTGGGCTTGCACATCCCTCTAGTGAAACAGACCTTGCAGGGAAAGGAGGCTAAAGGGGGGCTCTGGTGTGGGAGGGAGCAGGCCTGTGTGTAATGAGTATGCTCGTTTCAGAGCTCCTGGCCTCCTCCCAGGTCAGCTGCTCCCCTGGGCTCTGCATGGGCTTAGCACAGGCACAGCTGTGGGTAAGCAAAGGACTTCCACCTGCCCTCGGAGTGGGGCCTGGGGCCGTCTCTGGGTGAGAAGATAGGGTGAGGGAGTAGCCTAGGGAGAAGGCAGCCCCTTGTCACACTCACTCATCATCCGGTGCATCCCTGGGGTGCAGGGCAGAGAAGGCCAGGACTCCCTCGGGCTGCAAGTTGTGGGCACAGGGCAGGGGGCAGAGAGTTCAGCTACATCCCAGGATGGCAAAGAGGATAGCCTGCCCGTTCCCATCTACTGCCTGCCTGCCCAGCTGTGTGGGAGCCCAGCAGGAGGAGGACAGGATCTTGCAGTCCTGAGGAGGGTGCCTTCTGGGAGGGGGCCCGCCTGGGAAGAATGAAGGCTAGGGTTTTAGCCTTGCCTACATCAGCTTGCTAGGTTCCTATCTAGATCTTAGTTTCCCCATCTATGCCATGAGGCTCACTTATTCATTGCATGTTTATCTAGTGTTGAGCTAAGGGCAGGGGCTTTGCCATCCCACACTCCTGGGTCTGAGTCTTTGCCACTTACTTGCTGGACAACTTATGTGATGATCTGGGCCTCAGTTTCCTCATCTGTAAAAAGGGGTGAATAATAGTGTGTGCCCCGTAGGATTGTTGATTAAATTATTATTACACAACGAGGAAAATGGGAACTGGATGCTGTTCTTGGGAAACGCTCAGTGTAAACACACTGAGAATACTCACACATAAGCTTGCAGATACACAAGGACACACATACTTGCGTGCCCTGAGGTTTGTACACAAAAGAAGCAGCATTCTAAAAGAGGCACCTTTCGAGACTTCCCTGGTGGTCCAATGGCTAAGACTCCATGCTCCCAATGCAGGGGGCCCGGGTTCGATCCCTGGTCAGGGAACTAGATCCCACATGCTGCAACTAAGAGTTTGCATGCTGCAGCTAAAGATCCTGCATGCCGCAACTAAAAAAGATCCCATGTGCTGCAACTAAGACCCAGCGTAGCCAAATAAATAAATAAATAAATATATATAAAAAAAATTTTTTTTTAAAGAGGCACATTTCAAAGTCTCGGGCAAAGTAGAGGGCGTATCTGACTTCAGGCCTGAGATGACCATGGTAGGTTAGCAGCTCAGCTGTCCGGGGTGTGGTTGGTGCTCAATGGTGTGTGTGTGTACATGCTTGCACGTGCACGAAGCCTCTGATTTCCCCCTCCCTCAGGTCCTGAGATGGTGGAAAGAGCCAGGGGAATGGCCAACTTTTCCCCTCTTTACCTCCTGCTCCTGGTCTCTGTGATCCTGCAAAAAAGTCCCCAAATGAACTGAGAATAGCTCTGAG